GTTAATAATCTAGAGCATAAAGTAGGGAGGCACAACCATAGGCTAATAATTTGTACATCAATAATATTGTTAGTAAGTAAGTCAAGTTAGTGAAAACTTGTAAGAAAAAGGATGAGATGTTGGGAAAAAGGGATATGGTGGAGCACCAAAAGGATAGGGTATAAAATTTAAGTGACCTAAACATGAATGTTGACGAGTTGAGGCAACACCGAGGTGAAGTTAGCTTCGGTAGCATCTAAGGATTTAAATACACCGGATGACAAGATCGAGTCTATGAATGTTCCTTCTAATAGTTTAAATATCATAGATAATGAATAAGAGATGAGTAAGGCAACAAAAGGGAATGAAGGATCAATGATTGATTCATGGGTAGCGGGCACAACTCATAGAAGGCCAAATAATTCATCCTACGGATCGTTAGGTAGTGGGCCATATTGTGATGCTTAGGTAGTTAGTGGGATCTAATAAGGATAAGATGTGTGGGCTGCAATATATTAGGGTGGAAGAGGTTACCAAGCAAGGTTTAGAGTACAATGAAGAAGTAGGGTGGAAAGGATCAATTTTAGGTACAAAGCATGAAAGAGAGGCATATAACTTTCCTCATTTATCTTTAGGAATTATAGATGTTCAAGGGGCTGATTTGGAAAAAGCAAGGAAGAATTTTAAGATGTTTCAAAAATTAGCCAAAATCAAGAAACTTCAACTCATTGGACTATGGTAGAAAGACAAGCTCAGCTTTTAAAACACTAGTTTCTACATCTACATCAATTTAATCATTTCGAGTATTTTCTAGAATGTTAGAGGTGTGGGAAACATTGATTCAATTAATTATGTTAGAATTTTCAAGAAACAGACATAGGCTAAAATTTTTTGCTATTATCGATCCCAAGATGGGAGGATAAAATAGATAACATTGCTAAGTCTATCAAATACAAATGTTAAAAGCATTTTAACATAACAAATATTCATATATGGTTATTTTGGGATTAGGACATTTCCATGACTTGTTAGGCAATTCATTAATAAGTAGTCATTATTAGTATTTTGGGTTATCAAGGGGGTAAGTTATGGGTTTCGGTAGTATGTGGTAGCCATAATAGGAGGGAGAGGTAGGATTTATGGACTGAATTGGATAGGCTAACATCCATTTCTTAGGACCCATGGCTTAAGGGTGGTGATTTTAACATTATATCAAATACCGATGAGAAGAAAGGTAGGAATAGTATGGATATGCAAGGTATGCTTGAGTTTAATAATTGTTGTGATATAATTAGTATGTCGGATTTGGGTTACCGGGGTAGCAAATTTACTTAGTGCAATAATCAATTGGGTTTAGCGATAATTTGAGAGAGACTGGAAAGAGTTATGGCTAATGGTTCATATAATGCTACAAGGCCAAACCTTGTTATTGAGCACTTGGTAAGAACAATGTCGGATCATAGTTTAGTGTTAATTCAGGTGCCACGATAATGAGTAGAGAGGGACACTTTTGGTTTCGGTAAATGTGGATGGAACATCATAATTTTTAGGAATTTGTAAGGTACTCATGGAATACTATAGCTCGGGGTTCGCCTATGGAAATTCTTCATCAAAAGCTTAAACATTTGAGGAGTAAGTTGCATGTGTGGAATTAAGAGGCTTTTGGTAACATTCATTGGAAAATGGAAGGGTTGCAAGATGAAATTTATCGAGTTGGATATGGAATTGGGGCGAGTTGGAATGTTCACTCAGCTGATATTGTTTAGGATAGAAAAGTTGAATTAGCTCGATTAATCTGTTGGGATGAGGACATGTTGAGACAAAAAGTATGAATTAAATGGGTTGTTGAGGGGGATAGAAACATAAAGTTCTTTCATGCTTGTATTAAAGATAATGTGAGGAAGATGACCTTCGACTATAAAAATAGGATGGAACTTTTATGCAAGATGTGTCCGAGATAGTGACTAAGGTGGTTAGCTATTTCCAGTCTCTATTTTCGATTGGACCCATCCCAAACTATGATTCCTTATTTACAAGGGCTCCAAGGAGCATCACGAGAGGATATAAATGTACGGCTAACAAGTCTTTTTTAGAACTAGAAATTCTAAATGCCATTGATGGATCGAATACATCTAGTGCACTTGTTTGGGATGGGTTTACTTGTAGGGGTGTTCGTTCGGTAATTCGATTCGGTTTTGAACTTTTTTTACTAGTTTTCGGTTAACCGAATTGTCTAAAAAAATAACCGAAATCGAACCGAATTATTATTCGGTTTTTCGGTTCGGTTTTGAAATAACCAATTTTTTTATTCGGTAATTCGGTTTTCACCTTTAATTAATACTCAATATCATATGTTTATTCGATCGATGACTTAATTAAAATTGCATCGATTTCATGATCTCGATATTCATTCAAAGATCAATTTTTTTTAATGACAAGCCATAATAACACATAGACCCCATCCAAATTTCAAATAGACTACAATGTTATACTATTCTCTACACTTTAATAATGAAAAAGCAAGAATGTCAAACAACAATTCAATTTCAAGTATGCAACAAAATAAAAAGTTAAAAACAATAATTCAAGTATTCAACATTCCCAAATTACCAAGTAACATAAGTAATTTATAATAGTAAAAGCAACAAACCAACAACAAGAAAGCAACAATAAGAAGCCAACAATACAAAACTAAGTCACTAATAACTTGCTAAGTAAAATAATTCAAAAAACTCCAACAAGTCACAACTCACAATCACAAATAGACAAGTTCAAGGCTTTAAGCAAAAGGTTCACTAAATGATAAATTCTGCAAAGAAGAGAAAAAAATGTCAATTCTATAAATATAAAGGCATTTACAAACATACATGGACACACATAAAGATAATTCATTAGAAATTTACCCATGTCACTCAAAAGATCAAACCACTATCCATTCATCATATATCTATCATAGGTGCATCCGTTGATAGTTTTAATAAATCTGAAAAAAAATCAACACTTTAAGTCTTTAATATTAATTTGGAAGGAAAAAAGACAAATAAAAATATAAGAATTGAAAAACTTACCGGCTTCAAGTTTCTCAACATCTTGCAAATCTTCTTCAGTAGTAATTGGCATGGAATTTCGAAGCCAATCTTGAGCACATACAAGAGCTTGCACAATGCTAGGAGTTAAAGAACTCCTAAAGGCATCGAGAACTCTTCCTCCAAGTGCTAAATGCCGATTCCGAAGGAACGAGTAGATATTCGAACAACTAACACATCACGAGCCATTTTTGAAAGGATAGGAAACCGAAGAGAATTGTTTTTCCACCACTCCAAAATATTAAAATTTTCATCTCCAATTTCGACAGATTCACGAAGATACTTATCTAATTCTGATCTTTTATCTCCATCTTCACTTTCATTGAATTTTTGAAATCATGACATCCTCGCAAGTGTCTTGTTTTTTCTCTTTATGGCATAATTAGTGTCCATTCTATCACTTGCACTTGAAACTTCGTAATCCCATTACTTTGACCACTAAGACCTTGATTTGGTGATAAATTACAATATGAAGCATACAAGGCATATGTACATCCTTTCACATCATTTGTCATCTTTTCTCTAAGGCAATCACCATGCAATTCATTTAATGTAAATGCAACATAAGTAAGTTTATGTGTTGGATCAAGCACGGCTCCAATATAAATCAATTTATTCATTTTCTTCATATCCCCCCAATACTTATCAAATTTTTCTCTCATTTTACTAGCCAATGAACAAGTATCATCATCGGCACACTCTTGCCATTCTCTCAAATCAGCTTCAAACGTACAAATTTCATCAAAATAATTATTAGAAGTGACATATGAATGACCTAAAATAGACAAAGTAAGGTCATAGAAATTTTTCAATATTGTCACCATTTTCCTACAAGTCCTCCAATCTCCGACACTAGGTGGCTCAAATGCCCCATCACCAAGATCCACATTAAGTTCAATACTATTTAAATGATCAATTTGCTCATATCTCTTAAATGCTCTCTCAAACTTTTGAGCTGAATCTAACATCAAATAAGTTGAATTCCATCTAGTTGAAACATCTAGATGTAATAAACTTTTAGAATCAATCTTTTCAATCTCTGTGCATTCCTTAAATTTTCTCAACCTAGCGGGAGATTGTCTAATATACCTCACAATTGCTTGAACATGAAGGATCGAAGGATTTGCATTTTTTAACCCATCGAAACAACAAGATTCAAAATATGAGCCATACACCTTATATGAAGTAATTTCCCATCTAAGATGCTATTACCCCAATTATTCAAAACATCTCTCAAATATCTAATCGCCACATCATTTGAACTTGCATTGTCTACGGTAATAGTGAAAACTTTTTCAATCCCCCAATCAATCAAACACTTTTCAATAGCACTACCCAAATCAATAAGACCATCAAGTGGACAAAAATTTAGAATCTTTTTTTGCAACTTCCAATCATTGTCAATAAAATGAGCTATTAGACACATATAATTAACTCTTTGAATAGACGTCCATGTGTCCATAGGAAGATAAACTCTTTGACAATTATTTTTCAAAAATTGGTTCAACTTTAATTTCTCATACATATAAAGTTGATATCAATCTCTTGAAATGGTAACCCATGATGGAATTTTAAACCTAGGTTGTGCAATTGACATAAACTACTTAAACCCCACATTCTCGACAAATTTGAAAGGAAGTTCATCCACAATAATCATGTAAGCTAAAGCATTTCTAATGCAAGTTTGATCAAACTTCCATGTGCTATGAGTGCTTTCTCCCATTTGAACACTTGAATTAGATTGAAGGTTCAATTCGATTGGGTAAGGTCAAGCCTATGTGGGTGTTTTTTGCATTTGGCCATATGAGATTTAAGTGCGGTAGTACCATTTCTAATAGGATGAGCGAGCAAGTACCTTATCACGAGTAATTACATCTCCTCTTGATGTCTTTATTTTCATCTTCAAACTTTGTGAAATGGTCCCATACAACTAACCTTGGCCTCATTGCTTTTCTCTTCATCTTTGTGCTCACTTGTGTGTTTGATGAAGAGCCAATAGCAATTGTATCCGTTGTTGGACTCGGTTTTGGATGAGTTGAACTCGCAACTTCAGCATCCGAGGATCCTAACATCTATACAAATTCAAGAATATATTTGATTAGAAATGATTATTAAATACAATTTTATAGTATTAAAAATTTAAATTTTAAAAGTTAAAACGAGTGGGTAGTGTCCATCGTCAATCGGCCGACTACGGGCCTATTGGCTCGTGCTCGCGAGCCGATAGGCTTATTGGTCCGAGCCGGCGGGCCGGTAGGCCTATCGGCTCGTGCCCACGAGCCGGTGGCCGCTTGCCACTCGTAGGGCGATAGGCCTACTAGCACCGTGCCCGTCGGCCACCCGCTAGCCGGTAGGCCTACCGGCTCGTGCTCGCGAGCCGGTGGCCGCTCGTCCACCCGAAAGCCGGTAGGCCTACCGGCCACCCACGACCACCCACAAGGTAGTAGGCCCACCGGCTCGTACCGAGCGAGCCGCATGCCGCCGGCCACCCGCGAGGCGATACGCCTACCGGCCACCCTACCGTCTAATCCCAATTCCAAAATGAAAAAAATCAAAAATTTTACTCATGAAAACCTAAAAGCAAATACTATATAATCAATTACTAACTACTCATATAGTCATATGAGGTTTCGAATGAAAAAGAGACGGAATCATAGAAACTTCAACAATAAAAGAAGTTGCAGGACCCGAAGCATTAAACCCATTAACAACCCAATGGTTTCATTTTAATTACACAAATTTATAAATGGTTTAAGAAAAAAATGAAATTAATCAAAAATCTAGCATTTAACCACAAAAAAAAAAAATTGACCTTTTGAGTTTTGCTAGACTGGAACTAGAAGTCCGGAAGCACCGAAGTAGTGAAGGTGTGAAGCACTCGATTGTGAAAGTCTAAAAGAGAAGGATTGAAGTTTGAACTTTGAAGGAAGCAGGCAAGCAACAAGTAGGAGGCGGGAAGGCAGGAACTCGGGAAGGAGTAAGGAATTAGGGAGACGAGAGTTAGGGTTTTAAGTCTTCCGATGTTTTGTAACTTTTGTTACTTTTGTCCGTTACAAAATTTAACTTTGCTTAACATTCGATTTCCGGTGGAAACCGAATGTATTTAAAAAAAATCAAACCGAATTGAAATAATTTTAGTTTTTTGATTTAGTTTTTTACTATATTTAAAAAAAAAGCCAAAATTGTTAATTCGGTTCGGTTTGATTCGGTATTTTGGTTTTAATCGAATAGTGAACACCCCTAGTTTACTAGACACTTTTACAAAGAATGCTGGAATGTGGTTTTGTCCGAGATTATTGCATAGTGTAAGATTTTTTCAAGGGAGGTTAGATCCCTAGGGGTATGTCTTCTTGCATCCTAGTCTTGATTCCAAAGGTGGAAAACCCGAGTTCCCTAAGTGACTTGAGATCGATAAGTCTATCTAATTTCGATTGTAAAAGTATTTCAAAAATTTTAGCTAATAAGTTGATCGTAGTCCTTCCTAGTTTAATTGATCCAAAACAAGCTTGTTTTGTTAAAAGATAAAGCATCACAAAAAATACAGACTCTAGCACAAGAGATGGTAGTAAGCTTAAACCGAAGGTTCATAGGGATAACCATATTTTTAAACTCGTATATGTCGAAAGCTTATGATAGGGTTGAGTGGCATTTTCTTTCGAAGTCATGCATGTGATGGGGTTTAGTGAAAATTTATGTGACTTGGTGTATAGAAGTCTCAATAATGTATGGTATACAATTTGAATTCAAGGAAGGAACTTCAAATTCTTTAAATCATACAAGGGTGTTCGACAAGGAACCATCTACAACCTTTACTATTTATTTTGGTGTAGTAAGTCCTTTCGGTTAACCTTAAACAATAAATGGTGGAAGGTCTAATTCGGCCGTATAGGTTGCAAAAGGGAGCTTTATTAATTTCTCACTTGTTCTATACAAATGACATGTTATTGTTCACGAATGGATCTAAATGATCTCCGACATAATTGAGGGGTTTTTTTTAGGCATGAGGAGTTCGAAGGAAATTACTTAGTGTGGCTAAGAGTGGGTTCTACACCCCTAAAAATATGTCAAGCACAAAAAATAGTTTCGGTAAAGCAAGTATACGGGATGTGGTCATTTCCAATTCCCATTGTAGTTTTTGGGTGTTCCTCTCTTCATAAGTAGAATGAGTCAAGTTTATTTTCTACCATTAAAGATGAAGATTAAGTGGTAGTTGTGTGGTTGGAAGGTAAATTTATTATCCTTTAGTGCCGATTGACTTTATTCCAATTAGTTATTAACAAGTATACCGGTTCATGTGTTAGCTACTATCGTAGTGCCTAAGGGCACACTTTGGAGAATTGAGAGTTAGATGGCTAATTTTTTATGGAGCTCTTCTAGGTAAAACTACCGTCACTAGATTTTCTAGTGGTAGGTCTATTCTCTTTTTTGAGAAAGGTGGATTGGGGATTCATGGATTGGAGCAAGTGATGGTAGCTCTAGAAGCAAAGTGAGAGGAAGAGAGAGATTGAGTTAGGGATGAGAAAGAGGGAGAGGGAGAGGTAATGGGAGAGAGAGGGAGAAAGGAAGAGTAAGAGATATAAAGAGAGAGAGATGGGGAGGGGGAGAGGGATGGAGAAAGAGAAAATGATGGGAGAGGAGGGGAGAGAGGGAGGGGAAGAGGAAGAGGAAGAAAGATAGAGGGAGAGAGAGAGGGAGAAAAAGAGGGGAAGATATAAAGAGAGAATAAAGGAGATAGAGTGGGAGATGGACGAGAGAGGGAAAGAGAGAGGGAAAGGTAAAGAAGCGAGAAGAGGGAGAGAGAGGAGAGAGAGAGAGGAAAAGAGAGAGTGAGAGGGAGGGAGGGATGGAGGGAGAGTGTGGGAGAGGGGAGAGGGAGGAGAGGGAGAGAGGGGAATAAAGAGAGATGGGGAGATGGAAAGGGTAAGAGTGAGAGGAGAGAAAGAGATAGAGATAGAGAGGGAGAAAGGGGGATGAAGAGAGAGGGAGAGGGAGAGAGGTAGAGGGAGAGACCGGGCGAGGGAGAGTGAGAGAGAGAAAGAGAGGGGTGGGAGTGAGGGAGAGGGATGAAGAGAGAGAAAAGGATGTGAGAGAGGGATAGAGAGGGAGAGGAAGAGGGGGAGATATAGAGAGAATAAGGGAGATAGACCGGGAGATGGTGGGAGGGAGAGCGAGGGAGGAAGAGATAGAGAGAGGGAAAAAGAAATGAAAGAGAGAGAGGAGAGATTAGATGTAATTGGTAAGGAATTACCTACCTAATCCTTCATGTTTTAGCTATAACTCTCAAATGTATAGCATAAATACTAGAAGACTCAAATGATCTAAACAATCATTAATTAGTAAGAAAATGTCAAAATTACTCATATAAGCAAGAATCTCATATCTAACCTACTTATACAAAAGGATATTTAGAATCATTTAATGATGTCTAAGAAATCTTATTTACTTGACAAAAGGACATGTATCCCTTTTTAGTTGAAAAGGACAAAGAGTTACTAATCAATATAGTCTTTACACATAGAGATGTATATGGGCATATGTTCACCCAAGGAAAAAGGGAACATGTTTGTCACATGACCATTAATGATAGTGGATCCTGTTAGGGTTATAAGACATAAGTTCAAAACATTTAAAATATTAAAAAGTTTAGACTTGAAAATTTATGTGACGAACTGAATACTTAAATACTAAAATGTTAGATCACTTAAAAGAGAATGAGATTCTCTACGTACATCGCAGATTAGACATGATCGGCCCATGATGACTTGAATTAATATCCCTAATTATAAATGAATACACCTTATTGCGGCCTTTGAGATGAATAGGATTCTAATCTATTGAAATAGACCACATTTGAGATATGGAAAGGGAAAGAAAATGAACTAATCTTCCCTTATGATTTAAGGATATAGCTGGAGGAAATTTGTTTTGTTTATTTTGCACCTTTATAGGATGCATGATCCTTCATCTACCTCTCTCCCACTTTCTCTTTCTTTCTTTCTCTCTCTTCCTCTCACTCTCTCTTTTTATCTCTCGTACTCTCTCTCTCCCTCTCCCTTTGTCTCCCACTCCCTCTATCCCTCTCCCTCTCTTTCTCTACCTCCATATCTCTCCCTCTCTACTTCTCTCTCTTCCTCTCTCTCCTCATCTCTCTCTCCTATTCTCTCCTTCTCCCTCTTCCTCTCCCTCTCTTAGTCTCTCTCTCTCCCTCCCTCATTCTATCTCCCTCACTCTTTCTCCCTATTTCTCCCCCTCTTCCTTTCTCTACCTCTCACCTTTTTTCTCTCCCTCTCTCTCTCTCTCCTCTTCTCACTCCTTTTATTTTTCTCTTCATCTCTTTCTCACTTCCTCTCACCCTCTATCTATCTTTGCCTCTCTCCCTCTCTCGTAGCTCCCACTCTCTTCTTCCGTCTCCCCCTTATCTCCTCCTCTCTCCCTCTCTCCCCATCTCTCCCTCTCTCCCCTCTCTCTATAACCCTCGTAACGTCCTTAACCATATCAATATGCGTATAAGTATATTCGAACATACATCCATTAAGCAAGGGTGTAATTTATGTGCCATTTTAATGTTTTGGTAATATTATTATTCTTAGTGTTTATATGAGGAATTAGAGGATGAATTTTCAAGTAATTTAGCTAATTATCGTTCATTTCTCTCTAGTATGTATATAGAACCTATTATACAAGTGAGAAAGGTATTTTAAAATGTGGGGAATGTTAGAAAATTTTTGGGAAGGAAATTGTTGAATTATTGGGAAGGAAACTGCCAAATTTTTCTAGGAAAGAAATGTCATGTTACTTGAACTAAACTAGTTTAAGGGATTTAGTTAGCCTAACCACCATCTTTAGAAAATAATTAGACACCTAAGCTTTCATTTAATGCAATGGAACCTAACTCATTCCTTTGACTAAGCAAAACTCACCACTTGTCCCTCTTAGTCACCATTTACTTTACACTTGATAAATTAAATCAAGACACATGTAAACTAATTAAAATGGAAGAAAATGGAGCATGTATATATACATGATCTGCATTTTGGGTAAAATCCGTAGCTCACCCAAAAGAAGAAAAAAATGTCATTGAGAGAGAGAGAAACACAAAAAAGAAAGAGAGAAAAAGAAAGGAAAGAAAGAAAGGAGAAAAAGAAGAAAAAAGCTAAGGAAATCCTTAACAAACCTAAACTAAGTGGCTTTTTATCTATGCCATCTATTTGATTTTTAAATGTTAATTTATGTAATTGATTAAGCTTTTGATTATGTTGTGTTGTGTTGTTGTGTTGGTATTGTGTTGGATGGCTTGGCATATAATTGTTGATTGTTATGGAACATGTAACGAATGGTTGATATGTTGCATATTAAGTGTGGAAAGCCTTGTGCGTGGCTATGTTTATGTATTGATAGGTTTGATTGAAAGAATTAGGGCTTGATCAAAACATGGTGGACTAAATTAGGATTGATACGAACTTGGACAAGGTAAAATAGAAAGGAAGAAAAAATTAAATTTTAGGGTTTTTCCTAAG